TGTTCTGGATGACTGTGAACTACGTATTGGCCGACGAACACTTGAATATATATTATTATTAAACTTAATAGCCATGGTTCTATGTACGAATGTGAAGGCGGAGAGTTAAAGTTTCCCCTCTCAAATCAACTATTTTACCAGATTGAGACCGTAATGTAACTTCAGCGTTGTATACGGTGGTTGTGTTTAGCGGATAATAAACTAACGATTTAGGTACTTCTATAATTTTGAATCCTGCTGGGACAGAAGGAAAAAATGCATGGATCGCTTTGCTTGATTGTCCATTATCATATGAACCGGTCGCTATATTACACTCGACATATATAGTATTAACTTGTAAAATATCAACAATGTTTGTTGAAACATGACGTATATTCGGTGCATAAACTTTTTCATTAAAACCTAATAACCGCGCAATATTATTGGTTACCGTAAAATCAATGGCATTACTACACGTCAAAGCACTTTTCAATGTAACTTCGTCAGGTTCTAAAGAAAACGATTGAACGTATGGTTCCAACAGTTTTTTTATTACGGCTTCTAACTGCGCCAATTCGTATGATCCCGTCGGTATTGTAATTTGTGTTGTTACACCCTCAGAGTCTTGAACTCCGATTTTATTACAGTCAGTTGTAATATTAGGTATTGAGTTATTAGTATACAAACTCAAAAGACAAATTTCGGCACCCTCTTCAAATTCCAAAGGTGGGTAAAAACTACAACTCAATTGTGACGAATTACCGCTCAACATTATTGTAGCCGATTTCATAATTTTCGACTTAGAAATTTTAGGCATAAATGACCGCAGTTTACCGATCTATCAGCCTGGTACCGTAAATAGTTGTAATTTATGGCACACCCGTTAAAATATTTCTGTAACTCTAGCGGTGGAGCCAAATCACCGTAACTATCGAAATAATGTATTGTATTGTTATTTTTTCTATAGCACGTCCAATGAGTACCTGGCTCGTTTTGTTTGCTTAAATTAATAACTGCACTCTCGTT